CTCATGCTTCCTGATTGTTTTTGCCTCTCTCCTCTGTCCATAGGTGAAAATCTCACTGTTCTGCACTATCCTTCAAGTTCCTCCTTCCCCTGGTCCACCCTTTTCCTGTATATTACTTAGCATGGGATCCAGTACAGAACTTCGCACATGGGCACCGCTAGCTAGTCAAGGCAGCCTCTCCCTGGTTGTCCCAAGCCTCTACGTCCACACGGAGCACAGCAAGATTCCGTCTGCCACTAGAGTGTGATTGGAGCGCTTTGTGACAGGGGAGTCAGAGTGGATTGAGCTTTGTCCCTCAGAACGCTCATGACTCTCTTTACAAGCACAAGCACTCAGACCCTGCTCTTAAAATTCCCTCAGAGATCAGGAAGATCCCCTGCAGGTGGCAGGCCCCAAACCCAGGGCTCCTGGTTGTCCCTCAGGCACAGGTGACCTCCAGAGATCAGGGGTCTCCACCATGGTCTGGAGCAAGGAAGATGTCTGGGCACACCGTTAGCATATCACTACTGTCCATAGATAAGGTGCAGAGGCACTGCAATCCTCTGCCATCAGACAGGGAAGCGCATCCCTCTTCTGCGTACCCTGGAGTCCTCCAGGCCACCAAGCAAGGAGCACTGGGAATGGGGCGGGAGGAGCACCCTCTTTCCTGCAGGGAGTTCCTCAGCAAGAATCAAGTTAGCAACACCAGAGTGTGGTCTTTTCACTACGAAGAATAAACGGCAGTAGAAACCTCCCATAATGGAGAGTCAGGCCGGCCTGGGTTCCAATTCTGGTTTGGCCACTTACCCTCTGTGTGACAGAGGACATTCAGCATTAGTTTAGCAAGCCTCAGCCTTCCCATAAGAAATTGGGGACTGGGGATTGCATGCTATAGATACAGCCTGGCTCTAGCCATCACCATGGTAACAGGTACTGGCTCCAGTGCAGTTAAGGAATCATGAACTCTGGTCTTGGCATTGGTGTTAGAGGCAGTGCTGCCCAGGGCTCTAGATTGGTACCATCAGCCTGTTATCTGCAGCCCTGAGTCTTCCTGGGAGCACTAGAGCAGATACCACTATAATTCATGGCCAGAGTTCCCCAATCTAAGCCCTTACAATGGAGACCTGAGTACCAAGGCACACAAAGGTAGAAAAGAAGAGGGAGAGGGAGAGAGAGAGAGAGAGGGAGAGGGGGAGAGAGAGAGAGAGAGAGAGAGAGAGAGAGAGAGAGAGAGAGAGAGAGACCCATGGTGAAGGACCCTGATCCCCCCTCCCTGAAGCAGCAACTCTGGAATCAAGTTCAAATCCTATATCCATAAGACTTGACCTTGGTCCCCCATCACTTAACAGCAAATGCTTCCAAATCACTTGGCCGTGATTCAGACTCAATGTTATGAGGCTGGCAAGCATTGGGAGGGCCGCAGACACAGGATGGCATGGCTGAGAAGTCTACTTGCCTAGCAGCACCTCCCGGGTATCTGTGTGGACAGGTCAGTGTCCCCAGAGCAGAACACTGTGTGACAGATGGACAGAGGGAGAAGAGACAGTCAGCCTGCAGCAAGGGTGCAGCAGGACCTAGGGACTGGGCACAAGGACAAGTTGCCATCAAACCTGGAGCTTTTTAGTGACTTGAGTATTTCCACAGTAAACCTTGAGGACAAATGACACCAAAGGACAACCTGTTCTGAGGCACAAGGCTGATGGAAGCCAGCTCATCAACATACAAGAATCAGGAAGACCAGGCAAGTTGAAATGGGGTGTTTAGGACAAGGTCCCGTGCTGCATGTTGGGTCACATCAGCCTCTGATGGCATGGGAAGTACCCGGGACTGTAATCTCAGTCTGGTCACTTAACAAAGGAAAGTTCTTTTCCAGGTTCAAAAGTACCACATCACCAGTGAAACCCAGCTCAGTTCCCAGCCTGAGAACTGAATCAGTGAACCATAGATCCTGTGGGAGGCATACAAGACCCCAACAGAGACTCCTAACTGCTGAGACCACATAGCATCCCGCTGGAAAGAGAATCTGTTCAGGAAACAAAAATGTATCCATAGGGGATACATTTCAAATTAAGAGCTGGCAAACTCTGTTACAAACTCCCACTTGTACTTGGTGAAATAACAGGGGGCTTATTACTTCCCTGCTCAAATGCTGTCTCTGTGCTGGGGAGCCAGAGGGGGGCAACTGCAAAGAGGAAATTTCCCCGTCTTCCCTGGCCCAGGCTGTGCCAGCTTCAGGTCTGAAGCCATGTCCTATAAGCACCCAGGTCAGCCCCATTTCTTGGTAGGACACACTTTCAGTGGAAAGCAGTATTGGTTCTGGGTGACAGGTCTCTGTGCCTTTTAAGTACTCTGACTCCTCTGAGTAAGTGGACTCTGAGCGGCCAGAGCCAGGCTCTACTGATTCAGACACCAGGCCTGAGGTTCACAGCCTGGCAAGATTGCTAGCAGATTCACTCTAGCAAGATTGCTCCTAAGTTAATATACTTTTTAAAAATCTAATTTTTACTAGTGTTTTCTGTTCATAATAACGGGTCCATTTATTTCACCCACACACACCCCAACCCCCAGTCACACCAAGTTTCCTTTATCCATTTTTGAGGTGAAGATGAGCTGACTTGAACAAGAGCACCCTGCACCCCACCCCGACAGACACCGGGCCCACAGCCATTTCCTAAGCTCTTTCCAGGACCTTGGTCAGGCTGTTTCTCCAGAGGCTCTGCCCCATCTCCTTTCAGAGCTCTCGGTTTTCAGAGCTTTCAGATCTCGGTTTCCGACCCTCGCTCTAGACAAGGCAGGCGACAGGAGGCAGTGCCTCTCCTCCACCCGCTTCACCCGCTCTCCAACCCCAGGCACCCTGTTGCCCCTGTGTTCCATATGCCCTCTGCCTCACTCACAACGCCCATGCAGGGGAAGTCCCACACCATCCTGGGCCTCTCACTTGCCCAGGCCTGCTGTGCCTGGAGCAGGGATTTTCTTCTCTGGTTTCATCTGTCTCCCGACAGGAAGTGAAGAGAGCTAAGCTCTCTTCTGACTGACAGACATTGAGAGTCACCCAGACAGCCCTTGGAGGAACAGCAGCATCAGAGGGGCTGGGATACTTCTGCAGTTCAGAATAAGATAGTTCAGGATCCTTCTGGCGAGGCCCTGGCTGCAGTCTCAGATGGAAGCCAACAAGGAAAGCAGCCAGCACACTGCCTGGCACACAGAGGATGTCAAGACCCAACACTATTAGCATTTTCTCGGGTATTTTATTCCCACTGTGGACCTTTTATATCTGGGGGAGGAGAAAGCACAGACGAAGGCAATGGCCTGTACATACGGCCAAGCACCTGTGTACCGCTCATGGGGCATCACCTGTACACACTAATGGGGAAGGCGCTACCTGTGGGGTTCTGCCTCCCTTAGCATAACTCACTGCAAATTCTTAAGTCAAGAGTCAAAAAGTCCCAGCACAAATTCCCCCCAAACTTGTGTGAGATCTCAGGCAAGTCCCTTTTCCTCTCGGACCCCCGGTTTTCCATAGCAGGACTCGGTGGTGTGGGAAATCTTCCCTCAACAATAAAACTGTGGCTCCACAGAAGTGGATCTTAATCTTTGAAAGACTGTCACCACAGAGATGAAACCAGCCAGCTTATCTGCCTCGAGCAAAGAGAAGAGGTGGTGTGAACAGGGTGAGGATGGGAAATGGGGACAAACAGGCGATGGTAGCTCATGCCTTTAATCCCAGCACCCAGGAGGCAGAGGCAGGCAGAGTTCGAGGCCATTCTGATCTACATAGTGAGTTCTGGGACAGCCAGAACTCACAAAGAGACAAAGTGAAACTGAACTTCCTTCTTTTCACAGTCCAAGGGAATGCTGGGAAGTCGTGAGTTCCCAGTGGTGAGGAAAAGTCAAGAACCAACTAGCTGGGCAAGTGCATGTTACGCCTGAAGGTTCTGTGTTTCAAATTGTCTTGTTTTCACCAGTGCTAAGAGGTGGAAATCAGCTGGACCTAGCTGGGGCCGTGTGACATTATTAATGAACCAAACCAGCCAGGTCCAGTCTCTATTCCTCTCCCCCTCCACATTAAATGCAATCCCTCTCCAAGGCTGGTGTCTGTTGTCATTCTTGTAAACAAACCTCCATGCCACAGGAAGAACTGGGAAGCCATGTGGGAACCACATGGAGTACTCCTGAGCAGGAAGTTGGTAAACCTTTGCTGTCTACTCCAGGCCAGCAGCAGCGTGTCTCTCTCTAGTTCCCTTGAAGCTCCACAGATGCCCCTGGCAGCTGTCACCAGGCAGGCAGGTTGGTTTGGTCCCCCACACAAGAACAAACCCAGGGGCTCCTCTGTTAAACTGTACTACTGGGGACTGTCAATGAGTGGTACAAGCACACAGAGCAAAGGTCCTGTCAAAGCTGCAGTCAGTCCAGGTAAGCTGCAGGGGATGAGGGGGCTTTTAGCTAGAGGGAAGGGAGGCAGAAAACCCCACTATTGCTTGATATCCACAGTGTTCTGTTCCCACTTTCAAAGTAATCCAGGTTTTTTCCCCCCTCAGCTTAGATGTACCTCTTCAAGACTTCTATTCAGAAATTGAGCTCAAGGCACTGTGAGCTCTTTGGACAGTTTAAATAAATTGTCTTTTCTAGTTCTATGTGTACACAATAAGAAGATATCAATCAATTAGGGTATTTTCCTGATGATGAAAGATATTTAGTCTGGCAAGCTTCCAGAACCTTCTTTCTTGGTTTCTCTCTCTCTCTCTCTCTCTCTCTCTCTCTCTCTCTCTCTCTCTCTGTGTGTGTGTGTGTGTGTGTGTGTGTGTGAAAGCAATCTCCCTTAGACATGAGAACTATCCTCTTAATGATAAGCAGTTTTATATTGTAGTGTAACATTCTAGTGTGAGAACATGAGCCCCCATTCACAGGTGAAGTGAGCTAGGAAAAAGCAGAGACTGCAAACCAAGTCCATCCCACCTCGCACCTTAGCTGCCTCAGACAGTTGGGCCCACAGTCTGAGAAAGGGCCTGCCCCTCACGTACCTTTCGGCTTCCTGCTCTGAACTCTGTTGCTTGCTCTCAAAGGCGTTGAAGCTGCTCATGTCCACGTAGCCATCATTTTCATTTGCCGTAGACAGGGCTCTACTCTGTTCCTCAAACAGCTTTGTGAACGTGCCGGCCCGCGCCGGCCTGCGAGGCGGGATCTGAATGTTCTCATAGTCCGAGTTCATGGCAGGAATGTTCTCGTAGTCCGAAGTGTCGGCATTGGGGAACGAAATGGACCGTGGCTTGGTGAGCGGCAGGGGCAGGAAGGGTGGTCGGGAGCGGTCTTCGAAGGACTCCACCCTGGACACCGTCCTACTGAAAGGGACCCCTTTCCTCTTGCTGTCCCTGTAGAAGATGAGGGAGGCGGGAGAGTCAGAGGCGCGGAGCTTCCCAGTGCGACACTTGAGCTGGGGGGAGTTGCTGAGGCTCCTGCGGTCAAGTTCCAGGACCCTGGCCGGGCCGTGGTAGCTGGACTCAGAGGAGGACCTGGAAGACGACAGGTTCATGTCCATATGCACCTTATTCTCCGTCTTCTTCCTGAACGTCAGCTCCAGGAGGCGCTTGAAGGAGGATTTCTTCTTCTTGGAGGCCTTGTCCAGGGTGTCGCCATCTATCAGGAGTGAAGGGGAGCTCTTAGTGATGGGTTTCTTCGTGATGCAGGCCAGGTCGAAAGGGGGCGGGATGTCAACCACAGAGGATGGCGTGGAGGTGCCACTGGATGGCAGGTGGCTGCGTTGTGAGAAGCTGCCAGAGGAGCCGATGGCGCCCGGCAGAGAGAGGCTGTCTTCTTTCTTTCTCACACGGTGGCCATCCAGCCCAGCCCCCTCTGGCTCCCGGAACAAAGACAGGGGACTCTCCCGGCCTTCCACAGAGAAGGACCTTGGGTACAGAGTGAATGCCCTGGGCTTGGCTGGCAAGGCCCGGCCAGACTCAGGGGGCTTTCCCTCTGGCAACACACCTATCCTTCTCGCCGCCTCACTGGCGTCTCCAGTGCCCACAGCTGATGAACAGGCTTCTGGTCCTATTTCTTCTAGAACAGTTTCTGGAACATGACCAGCCACCTTCCCAGAGTGGGGCCGGGCCCTTGTGACAATGTTCTTCCTGTCCACTGGGACCAGGCCACCCTCAGAATCCCCTTCCTCCCAGGTACTGTACCCACTTCGAGTGCCTGACGTAGCCTGAGTGTCTGACTGTGTTCCCTCTCCGAGGTTCAGCAAGCCAGCTCCCATCACGTAGGGACTGCTGAGTGCATCGTCCGCAGCATCCTCATCCTCTGGCACAACCACCACATCGGGGACAGGGGGTGCATCTCCAGCTCCATCCTGCACAGGCTCGTGTTTGTTAAGTGAAGGGTCGGTATCAGGAGCCCCCTCTCTGCACACTGGCTCCTGCCCCTTGGCTGACTCCGAAAGGGAACAGATGTCATTGCAGAAGGATGTGCTCTCAGTTGGGAAGAGTTCATAGGGACTTTCTGTGAGTGTGGACGCGAAATCCTCCTCCATGCTGGCGCTCTCAAAGGGGATGATCTGGCAGTTCTCCTCAGCAGGGTCCTCCTCAGCATGGTCCTGCTCTCCACCCTCTCCAGAGTTCTCCCCTACCTGCACGGCGGTTGCTGCAGTTTCTCTATTGTAGGCTTCCTCATCACAAGCAGGTGGTTCCTCCTGCTCTGCCTGGCCCCCACCTCCTGCAGCACCTTCACAGTCCTCCTCAAAGATCTCAGGGCTGTCAGTTGCCACCTCTTGCTCCTGGATATCTGGGGGCACCTCCCCATTTTCAGGGGATAGCACACTGGCATCTTCTGTGTCCTGTTCAGTGTCCTGGTGGGGCTCCCCAGCTTCTGTGTTGTTACATTCATCATTACTATCCTCTTCTACTTCCCCAGGAGTCTCAGCGAGCCCTGGCTCCCAACAGGGGACTTCAGAGGGCTCAGAGCAGACATGTGTGAGAATGACCTCTCTGTGGCCGAACTCCTCTTCACCCCGAGGCCTATCATCAAGGCTGTACATGTGCTCTTCCGCCTCCTCCTCCTCACTCACGGGCTGCTCCTCCATTCCTGAGCCCTGGTCACCATCTTCCTCACCTCCCTCATTATCTCTGCTTAGCGCCCCTTCATCTGGGGCTGTTGGGGTCTCTGGATCATGATTACAGTCTTCTTCACCTTCCGGAGTGTGGCCCACATCTTCCTCGTTGTCTCTGCTTGGTGCCTCTTCGTCTGGAACTGCCAGGTCCCCCTCAGTCCCCATCTGCTCTGTACCATGCTCTTGGGCTTCCTCTTCGATCCCCTGCTCCCCAGCAGCCCCATCCATGGGAGCATCCTCTCTCTGTGGGGCCCTGGGGACCATGATGTATTCCTCATCAGTCTCCAACTCAGAGCAGTTCAGGGTGGAGAGGTGCCCATCACACAGGTCCCGGTCCTGGCAGGGCAGCCTCCCATTGCTGCATTTGCTGAGGCTGTTGTTCAGGTACACACCAGTTCCACACTCACTGGGGCCAGCCAGCCTGGGCTTAGGAGCAATGGGAGGTTTGGGGCCCCTGGACATGAAGTTAGGACTGGGGAAACTGTCAGGCCTGGGTGACGGTGGAAACTTGGCTGCTGGCGTAGAAGGACTGGTGGTAACCTTCGGTTTGGGAGCAACTGGTGGTTTGGGTGAATCTAGAGGGAAAAAAAAAACAGAGAAAAGGAGAAAAAAACCCACACAATTAAACTCAGACTCTCTTGACATAGCCTGGTGAAGGGAGAATGGAGGAGTGTCCCCAGCTCTGTGACTTGTCTCAGACTTTAATCTCTACCACATCCTCGAAACCCTTTAGCAGGGCTAGGGATGTAGCCGCCTTAGTAAAGCGCTTGCCCATCGTACAGGAAGCCCCAAGTTTGCTCCCCGCCCAGCACGATGCGAGCCTGTAATTCCAGCACTGGAGCGGTAGAGTCAGGGGGATCAAAAGTTCAAGGTCATCCTCAGCAACATAGTGAGTTCAAGTCCAGCCTGGGCTACCTGAGACCCTATCTGAAAACCAGGAAATCCTTGACCTACTATTAACAGTTCATTCTGTGAGTGGGGATGCAGAGCTTCCTCCACAGTCCAGCTAACAAGAACCAGCTGAACGGAATCCTGTGTGCCTTGAACGATTTGCCAAGATCTTTCCATCCATTCACCCAACACTACTTAGTGAATGATCTCTGTGTGTCCTGCCACCATGAGTAAAAGACGAACTGGACAGCCAGGCCCTGGGGGTCCTCACAGAGCTGGTATTCATTAGCACCCCAAGCAAGAGGCCAGCACTACCGATGAGAGGCTCTCACCAGCTCCAGCAGAGAGTCCATTGGGGAGTTGGAACAACAGAGAGAGCTGTAGCCCCTTGGGATGTTACGGCTGAACAGCCATCATTCCGTCCCTCCAAGAATGGCACACCAAGGACATATGACTGTTGCGAGCTTTGGCTGAGAGTGTTTGCATGTTTCCAGAGTGTCCAGTGAGGACCCCCAAATATTATGGAAGAAAGGAAATAGATGTAACAGCACAGGTAGCGGCAAATGCCTATGTCCCTCAAGGATGCTGGGGCCTGCAGACTGGTGGATAAAAGATGTGTGCAGAGCACACGCACATCAGGAGTTAGCCAGGGATAACTGCCAGTACTGGGAGCCTCCAGGAGAAGGTGAACCCCTGGGAAGTTTTGAAGACTGACGTAGGACATGCTAAGACAAGAAACAGACCAATGGCACAGTTTCCGAGGTCCGAGTCCTGTGTCTCTCCTCAGCAACTATCAGGGCCTGCTTTTCAGGCCTCCTTGCCTGGTCCTCACGCCTCAATCTACACTTCAGCAAAATGAATTTCTCAGGCATGGAACTTCATGCTGACACCTTCACTTCGGAACTGAAACATATATTCAAGTGGGCTTGAATCCCCACGCCCCCCGGACAGGCTTCATCTTCTGTCTATCTTTGCTGAGGTCTAGGCGTGACGGCAGCTCCACATGACAGTCCGGCTCCTGACCCAGGAGGACATGTAGCAGAGGACTGGGGTTCTCTCAGCAAACGAAGCCCCTCCCTCAGCATCTGAGCCACCTATGTGTTTTAACAGCTACCACCAGCAGCTCTAATCAAGGGCCACATCTATCACTCCGTGTGATAGATATACACGATACATGTATGTGATACATGTGAAAGTCTTACTAAGTAGCCTAGGCTGGCCTCAAACTCATGATCCTCCTACCTCAGTCTCCTGAGTTTGAGATTACATGGGTGTGACACCGTGCCGAAATCCATGTGATCCATGATCACAGTCATGTTATAAAATAAATGTCAGGTGTGGTGATTCATCCCAAGAACACCCCATCTACTTAAAAACTTGAGGCAGGAAGATCATTTGAGCCCAAGAGTACAGCATCCAGCCTGGATAACACAGAGAAACCTCATCTTTTTTTTTTTTTTTTTTTTTTTTTTAGTGAAATAGAAGTAGGTAAAAGTGACTTTCACAATCTGATTTACGCAGGCAGGTAAGGCGGGGCACACCTTTAGTACCAATGCACAAAGGCAGACAGATCCCTGCTAGTTCAAGGCCAACCTGGTCTGTAGAGAGAGTTCCAGGACCACAAGGTTACACAGTGAGACCCTGTCTCAAAAACAAACTAAAGGAAGCAACACTACATTTTACTCAGCTCCATAAATCCAAGCATCACAGGGCACAGCAGGCACGCCTGTCATCTCAGAACCTGAGAGGCAGAAGGACCGGGAGTCCAAGGTCAGTTACAGAAGGGCTGTCTCCAAAAAAGAGGGGACATGGGGGAGATAGCCCGGCTAACATAGTGTTTCCCATGCAAGCTGAAGACTCAAGTTCGATACCCAGAATCGGTATAAAAAAGCCAGATGTCGACTGTGTGAGCTTGGAACTGAAGCTCTGAGGAAGGAAAGATTTGCAGGATTCTTTGGTCAGTCAGCATTGTCTCCTTGTCAAGCTCCAAGCCAGTGAGAGATTCTGACTTAAAAGACAAGGTAGATGGCACCTGCGAAATGACACATGAGGTTGTCTTCTGATTTGCACACACGCACGCGTGCACACATGTGTGCGCATGTGCACACACACACACACACACACTTCCAAATATTATTATTTGAGTAAAGTTCAACCTGACAACTGTACTTTATGATGGTTTGAAAAATAAACTCTGTGTTTCACTTCCAATGCAGTATCCAGTGAGCTACACTAGACACCCTGGCTGTGAGTATAAAGTGCTTTTGTGGGGGATGATTCAACCCAGCTGCAGGCAAAGGCAGGGTTCTGAGCACAGTTGACCTAGCATGGTCGGAAGGTTAAGTGTGTGACCTGCACTTCTGATCGGGTTTTTATGACTTAGGATGACTTTATGGGATGGTAACTCTGCTGTAAATGAAGGAGCATCTGTGGCCATTTTGAGCGAGCTAGTTGGCATTCTTTTTCACAAGAAGACCTTGAGATAAAATAGAGTATCTCTATTCACCAGCCACAGGCCCGGGGCTCAGTACTGGCAGCTAACCTCTGATTCAGACAACTCTGTGATCCTGTCCCATGGACACCTCGGTGCCAGTATGTCTGAAGCCAAAGTCAGTATCGTGATCCACAAATGTCAGGGCCCTATCATTCAGAGGGCAGCGTGGCACATTCAAGACTGCACAGACCCTGTGATGCCCAAAAGTGTTTGTCAGGTAGTCTGCTCACTAGTATAGGATACTGCGATGGGATGCAGGAGGAGCTTGAAGGCAAGAGAGAAAGAAGACACCTATCAAAAACCTCACTAAATCTCATTAACTCCACCCACCCCAAGGTCATCCACATCAACCCCCAGGCCTGACTAGGTGTCAGAACTACCAGGTTATCAAGTTCAGATGATCCCTACTTTAGAAAAATATTTATCAAATTAGTAATATACATATATGTACACATATATGTATACTACTAATTTATATATATGGGAGTTTAATAAAATGACCACTGGTCACTGTTAGGTAACAGCTGAGTTGGGTTCAAACCCTGGTTTTGCTGCTTAGGAGCTGTAGAACTGAGCCTCAGTTTTACCCCCTGTAAAATGGGGACAGCAAATAGCTCCCCTTTATCTCCCCTTGGGGGTACTGTGAAGGCAGAAGACCTTGTCGGCATTTGCATGAGAGGAACTGCTCACACAGGAGTACCTGTTGCTGTGGGGTGGGACATCCTTTCTGCCCCCTTTATCTTTCCAGCATGAGTCCAGCCCTATCTGGTACGCCGCTTGAGACAGCTGCCAGCTCACAACATCAGGTGTCAGATATTGGCATGACTTATTCTTCAGGGGTGGGGACTCCCATTTCTCATCCTAACAGGTGGCATTTCACACAGGCTCCACGAGACATGACCGAGGACCAGACAGGCTGTGAAAAATGACTGTCACCCTGGCTGCGTTGCCCCCATTCCCAACCCATCCTTCATCCAATCAAGCTATTGATCTGTGGGCGCCTGTTCCTTGAAAAAGGTTATGGTAGGGTCTGAGGCGTGATCCTGCAAGAAAATGCCTTCTGCACGGGAGCCCAAGGAATGGCAGGCACTCAGCACCTTTCGCTCCTGCACCGTACGGAAGCCACGACGCTTCTGCGTGTCTCCTCGGAGATCAAGAGATGCCGCCACCAAAGACACTTTGTCTCGCCCCTCCCTGGCAGTTGGCTGGCGTGAGGTTGCTCAGTGGGTGCAGAGCAGCCCTGGAGAGAACCTGGATCGTCTACTTCCAAGTCCAGCCCTCTGCCTCCCCTTTTCCCACAGAGTATCCCCCCTTCAGTGGGGCTCCAGGAGCCCCAGTATCAGTGAGAAGGGGAAAATCCATGGAAACCAAGGCAGAGAAACTAGGAGCAGCTCGTCAGGTGACGTGTGGTCTGGGTCTGACTGCTGCCTGCTGGCTAGAGTGTGACTATCTGGCTCCAATCCGTTCCCACTCAGTTTTCTCTACTCCAGTTCCATGCGATATAATATTTACTGTCCTCCTCTCCTGATGGGGTCCTAGTTAAAAGTCTCTGGACATACCGACAAACCCCTCTGGCCTCACTGAGGGGACAGTAAAGATGTAGAAAGGAAGCTGGGACCCATCAGTGTGTCCAGGAGACAGGAAGGAAGCCAGCACTTTTGGGAGGGAACAACAGGAGGAGCAGGGGACAAGAGATGAGGCTTAGGGTTTCCACGGCTGTTTTTCAAGGGCCTGAGGAGCAGGCTGGAGCAGGGATTAACCATGAGGACCCCCCCCCACAGGCTGAATACCCTGAAATGCATGGGAGTGGGGATGGACAGGAGGGTCTAGTAAGGAGGCTCTCACGCTACTCCTGGCAGTAGGGATGGAGCCTGAGCCAGGCCGGTGCGACAAGGAATCAGATTCCAATGATGAAACAGAACCGAGAGGGAGGATGTGTGTGAGGAACAGACATGGAAGAGAGAAAAGTTCCCAGATCATGTTGAAATTTAACCCCGAGCACCTAGAAAAGCCAAGTTGCAACAGCCAAGGTGGCCAGAGCTAGGAAGGGAGACCCAGAATTTCAGTGTGCACAAGTTCAAGCGAAGTACTTATCACACACCTAGTAGAGATATCCATGGGCCTCTGGGTCCGGGAGGCAGGCCTGTTACAGGCGGACATAGTGGGATGTAATGAAAGCCATGGATGGGAAAAAGTCGGGCCCAGGAGGGAGTCCCAGGGCCCCTGAGCAACAAAGGAGACTGAGGAGGATGAAGACTGCAAGCTGCATGCGAGAACAGCCTGGCTTGCTTGCTCGACCGCCGCCCTAGCTGATAGAGCACGGCCTGGCTCGCTCTGGCCCACCACCCTAGCTGGTGTTACTCTGACTGAAGAAGCACCTGCCTCCAAGATAGAGTTTGCCATCTTGAGCAGCACTGGAGGACATGCTAAGGGACTGGGACCACAACAGAAGAAAATATGGAGACAGAGGAGTCAGCAGAGGTGACAGTGTGTGCAGAGACCGGAGGAATGAGCAGACCCAGTGGCAGATTTTTAGGGTTTGAGAGGTACTTGGGAAGCCAGCGCAGGGATTGCTCCTGAGTTAAGCAATGGGCTGGGCTTGACTTCCTGATGTGGAACCAAGCATGGGCCTGACTGTTGCACCCTCTGGCTCCCCAGGGGCCTTCTCTCTCCCTACAGGTAATGTGCCCTAGCCAAGTCACTGACACCATGACTCCTGGTAATTTGCCACACCCGGGGATGGCGTGAATGCAGAGCACCCTTAGGCAGAATGCTAACTCAGGCATGGGCACAGGAAGGAAGAACATTTCAATAGCGCCCGATGATACAAATCACTCGCTGCTGGTACTAGCTGCTACTTTCTCTCTCTATTTTAATTAAATATCTGTCACTCATACATTCATGCCTGATGCTCCCTCCCAGCCATGCAGGAGTCAGGCTAGATGAAGTCTGGGAAGGAGCCCTGGACAGGGAGCCAGGAGCCTTAACCTCCCTTCCTGGCTAAGCCACTAACTGGAGGTGTCACCTCGGCCAAGCCTCCCCCTTCACATGCCTCTACAGTTTCTCCACCTGTAGAGGGAAGGAACTGGACCAAAGAGTTAATTTCCCTAGCTCTTCCAACTCAGAGAGCTTCTTGCAGCATCTTTTGACACTCTGACTCCTGTCCCCAGGTCTGTGTCACCTGCCATTCCCGCCACAGCCCCCGGAACACTCAGGACCATATGTTGCAAGAGCAATTATCTTCCAATTTCACCTCGCAATGCATCTTAATTTAACATCCATTCCTAGGTGCCTGCTGGAGAGTCCAAGCTAAGCCTGCTGGTTTCTAATTAGGATGCTGTTAAGCTTGTCCAGTGATCCACAACAGGGCACCTCCCGGGAAGACAGTGGGGGACAGAGTAGGGAGAGGCTTGGGGTCTGGTCCAAGCCTTTTCACATACAGCTGTGTGATCTCGTTCACATCTCTTTGCCTCTGGAAGCTTCCTTTTGTGGGAAAGGAAGAACTATCCATCTTTTCATGGAACCATTGAGAGTTCAAGGAAGCTAACCGACAAAAATCACTCAACAAAGTCAAGAAGCAAACATCCCCAACAAGTTAGGCCTAGATTATAAAAGGGGGGGACGGACGGGGGTTGTCTGAAACTGAATGGCCCGTGTTTCAGTCCTGTCTTGGCCCCTGAACAGGTCAGTACTCCTCGATTGTCCATCATCATGTTGCTGTGGATACTAACTAAACTAAAGGGAAGAGCATATCCTAGTGGTAACTAATTCATTATAAATTCCCGAGAAATATGAGTTAGTATTCATCGGTTGCATAGGATGGACCCTGTTCTGGTCTAGCGACAAATCAGAGATAGACTCTGACTTGTCAGAGAGATAAACTGAGGAACCTGCTCAGGGTCACATAAGCAGGTGGTGGCTTTGAGACCCAGCCCCAGGGAGTCCTACAGAAGGGGGCAGGCATGGCACTCACCAGTCAGTCAGTGTGAGGTTGCCGCACTGGAAAAAGAATCTGGCCTGCAGAAACAAATTACAGGACAGCTAAAGGTGGCCACCGCAAAGGCTTCCTGGGACCAAACCGACCTCTAAATTTGTTCGGACTGCCCCCATCTTCCAGACTTCCAGGGAAGGAGGGCCTGCTCTGGCCTCCTGCAGGAAAATGTGGGGAAGCTGGGCTGGCTCTCTCCATTGTTACAAAGCAGTTTTGTTAGGAGGGCAGGGAAAGCCAGCCTATCTCTGTCCAGACCGTGCCAGCACCAGAGGGCAACATTCCCCAGACAACAGTGGGCAACCAGACCCTGGGGACCCTGTTCCAGTGCTCTTCACACCCATAAAGTGACACTCCTGCTCATGGCCCCCAATTCTGTGGCCCACATTAATTACCCCCAGCAACACTGGATCCTGGACACAGGGAGGTGGCAGCTCTACTCCTTGGTCTGTTGTAAGACCAGTCCAGTGTCTCTAGCCGCACCTTACTCCCAAGACAATGCCTGTTTCTAGTAAGACAACGTTAAAAAGAAAAAAACCTCAACCTCAACCACCACCACCACCACCACCACCACAAGCAGCAGCAGCAGCAGCAGCAACAGCAGGATATGATTCCAAGACAGCCAAAATGGTGGCTTCCTGTTTCTTTGGGAATGTGTGTTGGGAGTGAGGCATTGGGCAGGGTGCTGGGTGGGGAAGGGGCTTCCCTTGTGCGCAATGGTAGCAGTAAAAGAAGCAGGGCAGACGGTCTGGAGCAGGTGAGTTTCATTAGCTAGGATTCAACGCTAGCAGACTCCAGCTTGGGTAACTTTCTAGCTTCCCCAGGCACCGCCTGGGAATCCAGCTTCCAGGCACCGCCCATCTGGTTGAGGCTCACTTTCCCAATCTGCTAAATGGTACTCCTCGGCAGAGATCGCTAAATTTCTTTGAGAACACTTTCGGGTTTCGCTGACCCGGTGAAGTCTGAGTCACAGAATGGGGCGTGAGGGGAGTAGGGTGCGAGGGACGCCGATGAGCCTGGAGAAAGGCAACCCCTCGATCCCCGCCTCGGTCCGGCAGTGGAGCTCCGGTAGGGAGTTTTAAGAGGGGTGAGCCTAGGCAAACAGTTCAGACTTCCTAGCTCAACCACAGAGCTCGCGGCGTCTGATGGCCGAGTTGGGTGTGTCGGGCCCTAGAGTACCAGAACAGATTCTGGCGTCGGGGAAGCATAGCGGATGCGCCCCGGGGCCAGGCGCGGCCACCAAAGGGCGAGCGAGGACCTGCTGGAACCCAGAGGACAGAGTGGAAGGGCTGAGGGGTTACGACTAGGTCTTTTTGGAGGGAGGGGTGTCCTCTGTTTCCGAGGGGACCTTCCTCGGGGGAAACGGCGTGGTGCCTGGGACAGGACATCCCAACTCTTGGGCTCCTAGAGAAGGGACCCCCGGTTCCGCAGGCTCCACTTGCGGAGCCTGCCGCCGATGCGGAAGGTGGCGCGGGTTCTTACCTGCTCTGTGCATCTTCCACCGTGAAGCCCGAGGCTGGTCGCTGCGTGCCGCGCGGGTCCGTCTGTCGGAGTCCCACTGCCGCCCGGTCCACCGCACCCGCGCCCGCC